CGACTACTCGAAGTAAGCAGATATTGGACTTGATCCATTCTGATGTGTGGGAATCACCAAAATTGTCCCTCAGATGAGCAAAATACTTTGTATCATTTATCAATGATTACTCCAGGAGATTATGTGTATACCTTATCAAGAAGAAGTCTGAGGTATTTGCCCGATTCAAAGAATTGAAAGCGCAAGTAGAACTTGAAATTAGAAAAAGAATCAAGTGCTTAAGGACAGACAACGGAGGAGAATGTGTAGATGGATATTTTCTAACATTCTACAAACAAGAATATATTATCAGGCAATTTTCTGTTCCACATACGTCTTAGCAGAATGGTGTATCAGAGCAAATGAATAGAACTCTTCTAGAAAAAACCAGAGCTATGTTACAGACTACAAGATTAGCCAAGTCTTTCTGGGCAGAAGCAATTAAGATTGCTCATTACTTGATAAATCGGTACCATCAACAACGATTGGGTTGAAAACTCTTATGGAGATGTGGAGTGAAAATTAGTTGATTACTCTTCCTTTCATGTGTTTGGTTGTCATGTATACGTGATGTTCAACACCCAAGAAAGAACGAAGTTGGATCCAAAATTCAGGAAATGCATCTTCTTGGGCTATGCTGACAATGTGAAGGGGTATCGCTTGTGGATTCCCACTGCCCACAAAGTTATTATTAACAAGGATATAGTCTTTGCAGAAAATGAACTGCAAAGTTAGCAGACAAATGATAGCCCAAAGGAAGACAAAGTTGTAGTACAGATAAAGAAGAAGCCTTCAGAAGATTCCTCTGAGTTAGGGGTGGAGCACGAAAAACATGAGACAAATGAGGTTGAAAATGGATAACTCTGGCGATCAACAAGAGAAAGAGCAAAATCATCTTGATATTTACAATATATGATGACAAGTTATGATGCGTATTGTCTCCTGAGTGAAGAAAGAGAACCTTAAACTTTTCAAAAGACCGTGAGTAGTTTAGAAGCTTCCTTATGGATGACTACTATGCAAGAAGAAATTGAGGATCCCTAAGGATCCTCTTGACATTATTTCAATGTTCTCCACCAGGATTCTCCATATGTCTACTAACCACTTCCACTGTTTGCGCAATGTCTGATCTTGTACAAATCATGACATACATAAGACTTTCCATCGCTGATACATACAGTCCTTGAGACATCTCAATCCTCTTTGTTTCACTGCTATGATTCATACTTGAGAATAACTTATAGTTGATAAGAAGTGGGGTAGAAACTAGCTTGCAATCTTGCATATTGAAGCACCGCAAGATCTTAAGTAAGTAATTCTTTTGATAAAGAAATTAAATCTCTTATACAAACACCTTGGTGCCTACTTTAAACCGTATAGAGATTTGTTCAACCTGCAAACCAAGTTTTCTTATTCTTCAAAGCCTTCTGGTTGGAGCATATATATTTCTTCTTTAAGTTCTCCATGAAAAAAAGTAGTTTTTACATACAATTGTTCAAGATGTAAATCAAATGCAGCACATATTGCAAGAACAATCCTGATTGTTGACAATTTAATAATGCCTTGTTTTTTAGCATATCCTTTTACCACCAATCTAGCACGATATGTTTTCACTTGATCATTGTCATCTCTCTTGATCTTGTAGACCCATTTACAATCAATAGTTTTTCGATCCTTTGGAAGTTCCACAAGATTCCATGTCTTGTTTCTATGAAGAGCCTCAATTTCTTCTTGTATAACACTCATCCATAGGGAAGCTTTTGAACCACTCATGACCTCTTGAAAGGTTGAAGATTCTCCTTCTTCACTTAAAAGATAATACACATCATGACTTATCATCACATATTGTGAATACAAAGATGATTTTGCTCTTTCTTTTATTGATCGTCAGAGTTCTCCATCGCCAACCTCATTTGGCTCATGTTCTTCATGTTCCTCCTCCAACTCAGAAGAATCTTCCGAAGGCTTCTTCTCTATCTATACTACAACTTTGTCCTTCTTCAGACTGTCATTTATCTGCTCACTTTGCAGTTCATTTTCTGCAAAGATTACATCCCTGCTAATAATAACTTTGTGGACAGTGGGATCCCACAAGCGATACCCCTTCACATTGTCATTATAGCCCAAGAAGATGCATTACCTAGATTTTGGATCCAACTTTATTCTTTCTTTGGTGTTGAACATCACATACACAGGACAACCAAACATATGTAAGAAAGAGTAATAAACTGATTTGCCACTCTAATCTCCATAGGAGTTTTTAGCCTAATCATTGTTGATGGTGACCGATTTATCAGGTAATAAGCAGTCTTAACTGCTTCTGCCAGAAAGACTTGGCTAATCTTGTAGTTTGCAACATAACTCTGGTTTTTTCTAGAAGAGTTTTATTCATTCGCTCTACTACACCATTCTGTTGAGGCGTATGTGAAACATAAAATTGCCTGATAATACCTTCTTGCTTGCATAATGTTAAAAAATTTCATCTACATATTCTCCTCTGTTGTTTGTTCTTAAGAACTTGATTCTTTTTCCAATTTCAAGTTCTAATTGCGCTTTAAATTCTTTGAACCGCGCAAACACCTCAAACTTCTTCTTGATAGGGTACACCTAAATCTCTTGGAGTAATCATCGATAAACGATACAAAGTATTTTGCTCATCCGATGGACAATTGCGATGATTCCCACACATCAAAATGGATCAAGTCTAATTTCTGTTTACTTCGTGTAGTTGATCTAGCAAACTTCAACTTGTGTTGCTTACTTGTCACACAGTGCTCGCAGAAGTGTAAATCAACCTTCTTGAGCCCGGGTAAGAGATCACGTTCCTCAAGAATTTGCAAACCTCACTCTAACATATGCCTAAGTATACAATGCCACATTGCCATCGTTTCTTATTGATTTGTCGATGCAGTTGTTGCATTAGCTTCTTACAAGATATCTCCCATAAGCACATACAAATTTGCCATGATCTTCTTTGCTTTTATGACTACCAAATTTCCGCTCACAGCCTTCAAGATCATATCTTCAACATGGATCTTGCATCCAAGGTCATCTAATTGTCTTATAGACAATATATTTTTCTTCAAGTCTTTCACATGTTGTACCCCTTGAATTGTGTGAATAGTACCGTCATGCTTTTTTAATTTGACTGTAACAACTCCACCAATCTCCAAAACATGGTCATTTTTCATGAATACAAATCCACCTGAGATTAACTCGTATTTTTGAAACTAGTATCGATGTGGAGTCATGTGCTAAGTTGCACCAAAATCCATTATCTACTTATCATGAAATCTACTTTCACCATTTGACGCTCACCAGAATTTCTCCTTCTTCAGAGGTATTTGCAACACAACTTTGTGAGGTTGGTTTTCCATTCATCTTCTTCCAACACTTTTTCTTTGTGCGTCCTTTCTTGCAACAATGGTAGCATTAGAACTTGAAATTCGTCTTATTTCGAGAGCTCGACCTGTCATGATTTTAACTCCCACTAGAGTCATGTTCCATTGATCTTCCTCTCATCATCGTCAAAGCTTCTACTTGTTTGAAACTTTCTACCTTATTATTTCGTCTGGATTCTTCTTCTAGAGTAGCTCCAACAACATCCTTTAAGTGTAGATGTCCTTCAATATTATTATGTTATGTTGATGATGAGTTGATCATACGAGTCTGGTAAGCTCTGAAGTAGAAGTTTCGCACGCTCATTTTCGACTATATTGAAATTTATTGTTGATAGTTGGGCAAATAAGGTGTTCAAGTAGTTGATGTGATCCATCATCGATGTGGACTCACTCATCCGAAGAGTATAAAGTTTTCGCTTCAAGAATATACTTGTGTGAAGAGACTTCACCTCATATAATTTGATGAGGGCATCCCAAATCTCCTTTACTGTATTTTTCTCCGCAACACTAGATAATACGGAATCTGCTGTTGCTAGGTGCAAATTCGCAATAGCATTGCCGTCAATTTTCTTCCACTTCTGATTCGTCGTTTCTGTAGGTCTTCCTTCAATTGCATCGATGCAATTGTCCTTTCTCAAAATTGCCTTCATCTTCAATTTCCATAATAAGAAATTGTTCTCGTTGAACTTCTGTATCTCGTACTTTGTTGTCATGGTTGTATACCGACTTATGCAACTCTCACTTATGAATAATATTTTCTACTGGAACAATAGTAATAGATCATGAACCAATACACCAGGTAAGTTCTCAGGAAAAAGAGGTGGATCACTAAGAGACACGCTTAAGTACCAAGTTTTTCCTAGACATGCACTTTCACACTACCACACATTTTCTAGTAACAACTCTTTTCTGATGTGGAAGATGAAATTAAACTGCAACCACAGAGCATACTTAGAATTCTACCAACACTATTCTAGTGATTAGCGCAACGGAATAAGAATGTGGCTCTAATAAGGCCTTAGACTAATTGTATAAGAACTCAACTAAAGTAGAGACAAGAAAAAATTGAATAACGACAATAAGCAAAAAATAGAAATTTTATAACAGGAAAAAAATTACATACCTTTTCTCTAGTATAAAAAAAAAAATAATGATAACCCTTTCTTGGAAATACAAATAACACTAGAGAAAGAAAATGAGAAACTTTTTGGGATGACTCTTAAGGAAACATTGGGTTCCTTTTATAACATAAAAAATAAGTCCCTAAACATGTTCTATTCTAGGTGGGACTTTTCCCCCTCTCACACCTTATGCAGCAAAATGCTCATGCCAATTCACATATGTAATCTTTTGACATTTACACCAACCACTGCATTCAGTTCTCCCATAACAACCACACTGATGATAATTTTGTTTAATCTACCAATTTTTATATTTTTCTGTGTAGGTTCAATTCTCAACCTACCGCAGAATCTGCTTCGGTCAGCACCTTGACAACATTTCACCCAGAAATTCCCTAGAGAACCACAAATAATCCTTCTTCCAAGGAGGTGGAGGGGCTTTCGATGCCACAGCGTCATCCTTTTGCATGGGTTCAAATGTTGAAGATATCAAAATAGAATGTCTGAAAGGAAAGAGGTAGCTTCAGAATCAAACAGGGGTGAAGAAATAGAAACATACCCATGTATTGATTTTTCTCTCAAGTCCTATGTCTCATGCAAAGAGGCATGCCCACAATCTGGGTTCACTTTGGAAGGTGAAAATTTGATTCTTTGTTGACTACTATTGTGCAAGGTTGGTATTGGTGGGTTTCGGTTTGGTTTGGAGCAGTTGAAGGCAGAGAGACTTGCTCTGAACCGCATGCATCTTGGGTTTGCAAGATGATTTCTTTATGGCAGGCTGGTTATCGGTGTCTTAGAGAGGTTGTGAATCTTGCAGTGATTGTTATGGTATTTTGATTGATCTCCTGCTGAAAATGAAGAGAATGGTTGATTCATGAAGTCGGCCTCCTAGCATCTGAGAGACCAGAAAGGAGAATGGAGATGGAGAGAAAAGAAGAAAATGTTCTGTCCCAGGATTTCCACGAATGGTGAACACTGATAAGAGGATTGCTGGAAAGGATGGGAGAAACGAGTGTAGTATAGCCTGCAATAATAAAATTAATCCAGTGGATAAAAATTATGGACCATAATAGACCATCTTACCCTATCCTCATCCTTACAAAAAGTAAAATTTTGTGAGTCTCTCTTCTCATTTATGGAATCTCACTCATAACTATGTTATATTCAATAAACTTCAACCAAAACAATTGAGTGTCTGGCAAAGACTCTTTTTCATTTGACGTCAGATTCTACTCTTCATTACTCAAAACATCCGAACATATTTATTTAGGATAAGTAAGGCAGTATATTTAATGATTCAATTATGTGATTAGCAATGACATCACATAATCAGTAATCCAAACTAGACTTCATAAAAAACAGTTGTAAATTTAACTATGACCATATTTATATAAATATTTACAAGAAAAGGAATTAAGAACTAAAAATGATTTGTACTTCTCTCATAAACTAAAATCAACTTATACACTTAACTTTTGTAGAAACTATTTCATGTAATTTCTTCAAAAGTTAAAGAGCATAAATTAATCTAAGCTTAGGGGAGAAGCTTAGGATTTACCCAGTGGCCGGAGGATTTGGGTAGACTGCATAAGGCCTAAGATTCAAACCTGATTGGTTTCATCGTACATAAAAAGAAAAGTTTGTTTTTAGACTAAAAAACTTGAAGAAAACAGGAGGATAGGAAAACATCTTTCAATTATTTTCTGTTTTTGGTTTTTAAAACACTTATGAAACAGTTTTCAAAAAATAATAGATTTCAGATGAAAAATTGGTTGTATTGGAGAATTATTTTACAAAACAGGTTTTAAAACAAAAAGTAAAAAGGGAAAAACACACGGACAACAATCATGTAGTCTCTAAATGGGTGTCTTAAGATGTGATCTTAATTGTAAAGAAAGTTTGTTAGAAGAGAAGAATCTGAGTCACCTCAGTGTAGCGGGGAGCTAATGCCAAAGCCTCTTCAGCATCTTGGAGAGCACCAGAGTAGTTGCCCAATTCCAGCCTTACAAATGACCTGAATGTCAAATGTCAAAATAGATAATAACGTAACAAAGGATGCAAGACATTAATGGAACCTGATATAAAGAATGAGTTAGCAAACCTGCATTTAAATGTGATGTGTATGCCAGCAAATGGTTTTAAATCTATAGCCTGTATCAATTAAGTTGAAAACATAGAAAGGAAGAATGAGTGGTCTATCTCTTTAAATTCAAAAGTCTCAAGTAAACCGGCAGAGAAAGAAAGAAGAATGGTTCACTGGTCGGCGTCTACCTGTGAGAGCAGAAGTTCAGCTGGGTGAAATTTCGGTTGGCAAACTCAATGTCCGCCCTCTTCCTCAAAGCAAGCGCATCCATACAAGCCTTGGGGTCATGGCCAGCTTCGGCAAACAGATTGACCATGAGCTCCGCAGCCCGAGCAGCCGTTCCACAATGGCCAACGGTGAGGCCATCGGGCAGGACCACCAGGTTGGGGCCCGAACCGCACCGCCCCAAGCACCCGCACGACTTTACAGTCACGTTTGGAGGAGCGACCCCACAGAGGGTTTCTAGGGTTTGAAATGAGCCCTGTCTGCGGCAGGTGCGGTTGCTGCACACCCGAATTTCCATTTGCTCCACCCTTTGTGCTTTGGCGCGCCAATCTAAACGACATCGTTTCACAGGTGGGGATGGCGCCACGTGACGAGAACTAAGCAACACATTGTGCTTGCTGCTGCGTCGGATATCAAATATAAACTATGCTATGCAACCACATTATTATTTATACTATATATACATATACATATATATATATATATATATATATATATATATATATATATAAACATCTCAATTTTTATTTTTTTTTGAAATTTCCCTAATGTAAAAAATTAATATTAATATGTAAATCATACTGATTATTTACCATTAATAATTTTATATTAATTTTAATGTTTGCTACTAAATTGATAATAAAATATTTTAAATTTTGTGTATATTTCAAGCATGTATGACATTAATTTAAAACATTTTAATCCCACAATCGATGTAAATCTTTAAAGATACAATTCGTATGATATTTACTTTCAATCCATTGATAAATTTTGAAATACAGTCATCTGTTAAAAAGTTATTTAATTACTTAAGAAAAGCGGTTAATTATTCCTTGAACTTTTATACAAATAGTATTATATTTACCCTTAAATTTTATTTTTTTTATGTATATTATGTTTATGTATCCATAATTAAAATTAATATTGCATGATTATCTGAAGTTGATAGAGGAGAATATGCGATTCAAATTGGATATACATTTATCGTGTTTTTTTGATTATCTTATATATGGATATTTACATGTATATTTTAAAATATAAATTGAATTAAAGACTATAATACAAGAGTAATTAAAAATTTAATATATATATATATATATATATATATATATTAAATAGAAGAAAATCACTTATTTCAAAAATAATACTTAAAAATTTATTTTTCTTTTTTATTAAGATTTTTTTATAATTCAATAATCAAAATAAAATATTATTTTATATGATTAGATCATAAAAAAAATGATAAAAAACCGAACATTAAATCTCTGACCTCCCTCTTTATATTTAAATATAAGAGTTCTTATTTCAAATCCAAAACAACCTTTCTAATTGAACAAGGGGGAAAAAATTATTGAGAGAATGAGGTAACAGGAGTGGCATTAATACCGTTAAGGCTGCGAAATCAACCATTGTCCACACAAAATTTTAATTTAATGGTACCATTGTCTATTTATTGACTTAAAAGAATCAAGGTTGGACAAATGTGCGCAAGTCGATTTATACTGAATTTACAATTTTGTGTTCTATAGACCAGAGACGAAAACTTTGTTATAGAAGAAATATAACTATCATGTCCTCTGTCCTCTTGTCCATCTCAATTTAGTTAATGTTGCAAGAACAATGAACCATGAACTACTATGTTAATCAAACCATAGTTCAACACCAAAGTGATGTAGATGTCTTGTTCAAAACATTGTACTCAAACAAACCTGTGAAATAAAAAATAAAAATAAAAATATTTAAGAAAATGCAAGCATAATAAACAAGCTATAATGATTTACTAAAGACTAGAATAGAGGCACAAAATGGTATTTTGAAACAATTATAAAAACAATGCACTAAGTCCAAAACATACCTGTTATATTAGAAAATTATTACTTGTATAAAAATGTATATTGGAGTAAAGTTGACTTAGTTCAGGTAAATTTAAACCATAGAGTGAAAATGGAAGGAAATGAACATAAAATCTTGAGATTCACTAGAACATGAAAGTGCAAATTAGAAAAGAAAAATAAAAATGCATACACTAACCTTATGCAGCAAAACGCTCATGCCAATTCACATATGTAATCTTTTGACATCTACACCAAGCACTAGTCGAAAGGCTATAAACTTAAAATCCTGATGCTTTTCCTGCAAACATATACATAATAATTTGTAATAATTAAAAGCTATATAACATGAGAGTTACCCTTATTCTTTTTGGTTGTGAAATGCAACTTTGTTGAAGTGAAGAACAGTTTCAGTGTTATGTAATCTTTGTTATTTTTCCATTGAATTAAAAAAGTATAAAAAGATGATAGACATAAGTATGAATTATCATACAATCAAATGTTGCCCAACTTGAAGGAGGCACGGTTGAGAAGGCTTGGTTATCGTCATAGATGCAAAGCAAGTTGTCAAAATCAACTGATGAGGATGGCCTTTTAAATGGAGGAGAATTCTTTTTCTGCATGTCAATAAAACCCTGAATTGCAAAGATACAATCAAACAAACATATCCTCATGTTTTCAAGATATAAAGGATTCAGAAAACTTACCCCGCGAGCTCTTGTTGTTGTTGGTGGTAGAATTTGTGCGACGTGGTTAGCAAGGACGCTTTCTTCAAGAGAAAGTCTCCTGTTGTTCTTCAGAATACCATTCCTAGACCCTCCATTTGACGTTGATTGCATTTCATCTTTTGAAGCCCATCTTTTCTCCACGTACCTAAAACACCCTAAGCAAGTTAATTAAAGCACACCCAGAAATCCAAAAATGGATCAAAATTATCTTTTATTTTCAAACAACAATGGCTTGTAAAAACTGTCCATCAGAAGCTTACTTGGCACGGATAAACTTGTCAATTCCCAATTTACTTCTATCAAAATTTGGTGGCATTTCTGCCTCCCAGAGCTTATTTGACTTTTCATTACCGATAACTGCGTAGAACATGCATATACAGCGACGAGTTCAGTAGTCGTTATGTCATGTGCAACCAAGGTCAACTAATTTTCTGAGTGATTGATTCAGTTACCAATATTTTTCATTAAGAAAGCAAGACAAAATTATATAGTTTCTTACATTGCATGAAAGAAATTTGCTCTGGCAACCACGTATCTAAAGTCGTGGACCGCACCTACTTGCAAAATGAGAAGAGTTGATCATTATGAATCCACTGATAAAATATTTTAAGTAAAGAATATATATTAGCATATTCTGTTTTATTATAACCCTCCACACAACAGAAATATCGGATTTTGCTTACCAATTTGCAACTATTTGTCTGCACTCATATACAATATAAACAATCATACGATTAAGAATGAAAATAAAAATTTGAGTTGAAAGAAATTGAATGATAACTTATCTTTATCTCCTCTCTTAGTGTGGAATAAGAATGCAATTCAATAATTAAATTAGTTCAATTTCTAAAAAAAAAGTTCAATTAAAATATGTAGAATTTAATTAACTAAATTAAAATATAGAAGGTAGATAATTAAATAAAAAACAGTTCAGTTAAATTTCTTGATACTAATTTTTAGTTTAATTTAAATTAGGAATATGTTTAATTTTGTTCAATTTTCTGTACAATTTAATTAAGTTTAACTCCAACATTATTAAGTTTCATTTAATTTATTTTTCCCGTTTCTACAAAAGTATGGCATAAAAGAACTGAATACAAAAATGTAAACCTTCGATATATGAACTCCAAGACTTCGGTGAATTCCTGAACATTGCATGCAAATGAAAATCCCCAGGTTCACACTAGCCCATCGTGGTGCCCTGACATATTTGGGAGATCAAAAGGTAAAGTTACCATCCTGCTAATTTAGAGAAATTATTTTTTTAATTACCATTTCTTTACTATCCTAATAATCTTTATATTACTTGTAATTAATTAAATGTTGTTAATTATTCCATGCGGCTTTAGACTGTAAAAGCTAAAAGAAAATTAAAAATATATGTGTAAAGATTAAGATAAATTAAATAATGTTTATAAAGACTTAAAATTAATATTTTAAAATGTAGAAATATAAAGATTAAGTCTATATTTAAAATTTTCATTGACGAATAAAATGAGACATTTATAAAAAAATTAAAAATAAAAAAATAAATAGAACATTTCTAAAATTAAAGAAAAAAAAGATTGTTTTATCAAAACTTAAAACAAACTAAAAATACTGAACCCTGATTTAAACTAGCTCTGAAATGATGGATTGGGTATATACTGCATTTCAGATTCAGTGAACAATATTAAAAAAAAAATTACTAATCTATTTCAATTTATTAAAAAAATATTTGATTCAATTTATTCAATAAAAATATCAAATTCACATATTATTTTCATAAAATAATATTAAAAAACATTTTAAAGATATGTTTGAAAAAATAAAAAATAAATAAATTCTGTAAAACATATATTAAGCACATAATTTTAAAAAATTGGAAAGAAAAAAAATTAAGAAAATCGAGTTTTGAAATAATTTAGTAGATTGGTTTTTTGATTTGTAATATAAAATTGATGAGAGAGTTTATGGTATTTTATAAATAATAAATAAATCCATAAAATGTAACTAATTTACGTTATATTTTTATTAATAAATATAATTCTTGATGAATAAATGAATGGATTTTCTGAGTCGTAATTGAAATCTAACGAAGTGAAAAAATTGTTGATGAAATAAAATAGGGAGTTGGGAAATGAAGATACCTGTTGCGGCAATCTGCACATTCCCTGTTCTCGGGCAGCTTGAGAAGTCCTTCCAAGATCTGCATAAAGCGAAACGTAAGGATGATACATAATATGAACAGAAGCATCGTATATGATATCGAATGAAACCTTGGCGTGTTTGGCATTGAGCTCCTTGGAGACGAAGGCTTTCCCATTCATGTTGCGTGTGCAGTGCAGAGGGAGGGAAGAGCGAAACAAGAGAGCGACGATTGAGAAGGAGAAGCAGGGAGAAGGAATGGTTTTATTAGGCCAAAAAACAGAGCATTGGAGTGGGTGGCGTGACCTCCAACTCTCCCATCATCATCACTCCCTCTTTCTTTGTCACTTTTACATTTCAACTTGGCTGGCAATACAAATGGCATCACCAACACAAATTAAATCAGCCCAGTCCACAACTACAATTTCCAATCTTTTCCTTTTTCTTTGTCCTTTTCGCTAAAATAATAATTTACTGATAACTATCAATATGTCACTTATCATTGCGCCCAGGCCCAATCCGGCAATCCCGTGTGTACACCACTACTTTGGAATTATACCGGAGATGCAACAATTGAGTAGATGATTTACGAGTTTTAAACTTACGTAGGTTTGTTTCTTAGTTTACTTTCTACACTTATTACCTCTTCTTAACACTCTTACACACTCAATATAATTCATCTCACGAGACTAGTACTAGTCGATTTTGTAGATCAAATTAAATATTTCATAAATTTTTAAGATAACATTAAAATTAATTCTAACAATATTAAAATATAATTCTTTCAACTTTATTTTAAATATTCAATTTGAATTTAATTTTTTTACCGGACCTCTGCGTAACTCACATTGGACTAATTCTTTGTGAGATTATTTCTTTCCTTGTCCATCTTTTTTATATCATTGTTTTGATTGACTAATAGATCTAAGGGAGTAGAAAATAAGATGGATTGAGATTGTTTGAATAGAAAAAAAAAAAGAGTAAAAAATTGAAAAATAAAATAAAATATTATTAATTTGATTTTTTTTTAATTTATAATATAATCGATTATGTATATTTATGGTTGGATGGAATCTTCGGCGATGGGAAAAGGGGTAGGGGGAAGAGGGCTTTTTGTAAAGATATACTTTATTGGAAAGATTTCATTTACATGTAATTGTATCATCAATTGTATTACAGATGGTGAGTTTGCATTATATATTAAAGTGTTTATATTATCCTCTTTTAAAAAAATTGGTTTGTTTTGAATGTTTCATTTCAAAGATTCTCTTGCACTGCATTTAGATAAATTTTAAATTGAATTTGACACTGTTAAGTTGTTATGAACATTTAACTTTTTCAATTATATGTTGAAACACATAATAAACCCATCAAGCTTTATAATCTATAAATACAGCAATTAACACAGTTTGTCATGTATTCAGTAATATTGTATAAAAACAACAAATTGTGATTGTAATTTAGCTTTATAACGGTACGTGCCATTGAGAAGATATATCATAACATCTTGCAGATGTAGTATTTTCTTCACCATACCATGTCTAAGTAAAATCATGACTTTTCTTCCACACTTATTTATGAATTCATTTATTTCAAATCTTAAATGATATATAGTATAAAGTTGCATAAGTTAAGATGTTGTTTTGTTAAGGTGTGTTTGATTTGTTATTGATGTTAGTATAACTTATGACATAATCGATTATGTGCGATTACATAATCGATTATATTGAACTGTATAATTGATTTTTTCATCTTGAATGTTATCATTCGTTCAGTGAATTTCTGTCCGTTGAGTATTTTTATCGTTTTAAAAGGTTTGTTCTCTAGTGTGAATCCACTTGGCAGATATAAAACGTTTAACGATAGAATCATCTAACGGATTTAGAATTACTTAACGATTTTTGAATGTAAGATAAAATGATCCTCTCTATTTAATTTTTCTCTTTTCTCGTAAGAATGCACCAATGCTTTATACCCAATGTTGCTTCTCCTTAATATTATTCAATTAAATATTATTGCATATTGAATAGCGTATCTTATTTCAAATGTTATTTAATTATTGTATTTAACGTGAAATCAAATTTTAAGAAAAATATACACAACTTATAAATTATTATTAAAGTAATATAATTTTATTTTATTAAATATTCATTCAAATATCAAAAACTTTAAATATATAAATTAAACTACAACAAAACAATATTTTATAGTTAATATATAAACTAATTTTAATTATACTTGATATATAAAATAACATTAATATATTTAAATATTATATATAATATAAATTAATTAATAATTTTATATTTAATTATATCATATTTATCATTTCTATTTAATTTATCTATTATATTATAATAATGAAGATATTTTTGTCATTACATTGAAAATATTATTCTTTAATTTTTTTATATTCAATCATAAATTACATAGCTAGAATAAATCCCTTCAAATCTAATATCTTTCTCAGATCCAAACAATCACATTATTTATTCTAAATCACATCAAATTCACTTCTACAAATCTTCTACCTCAATCTAAGTATAAACTTACTCATTCCATTCCTAGATTAAAACGAGTCATTAATGAGTATAATGTTATGATGTAAAAAGTTTCTCTATGAAATTTGTTTCTTAGGATACTATTGGTTAAAATGAGTTAAAATTATATTTTTTAGAAAGGGTTAATATTTTAATTAATTTCAATTTTTAGTTTAAGAAATTGTAGAAAAATATATTAATAATTAATAAATAAATAACGTTTCACATAATTGAATGTTAGTTGGCTTAAATTGGAAAATGCAAGTAAAGAACATAGAAAACATGAGTTGGGCTTGGGCCTTGACTGTGATCCAAGAATTTTGTTAACAGCTGATGGACAGAGAGAAAGACTCGGTGAGGGTGGCATTACAGAGGGGCGAGAAAAAGGATGAGGTGGTGCAGTGAGGTCTGCTGTGGGTCTCGGTCTGGTGCTCATGCGCATGCACTCTCATTCTCATTCTCACTCTCACTCGCTCCTGTAGTCACTGCTTCCTTTTGCAGTACTAGTCTCGTGCTGCCATTCCAAAAGCCTCTCTTCAAATTCAAACTCAAATTCACCAACTCCTCTTCTCATGCTCTTCTCCATCGTAAGCAGCTCGTACCCGCTGCACCGCCACTAACACATTCCTCTACTTCAGCGGAGGACGATTATGATTTTGTGGTCGTCAATTTCTACCATTTTGTGTTCATCAAAGACCCACAAGCTGAAGTCGCCAAACACCGTTCTTTCTTGGAATTGCAGGTTCGATATCATGTTTTTTTTAATTGTTACCCTTTTCCATTTTCCGTTTTCCATTTTCCATTGTATTGATTCTGGTGTTCTCATTAAAGTAGGATATAGGAAGCATTGCTGTCACTGAATCATTTTCTTCATGAATGCATGCACCCAAGCTTTGATAAATCATACTTCAGAATGACAAGTTCATTGTTTGACCTGAGCCCAAGTTCATTTTGAAACCCACCTTTCCCCATCTATAACTTCTATATTTTAGCAGGGCCTCGACATTAATGGAAGAATCTATCTGAATGAACAGGGGATTAATGCCCAGGTCAGTTTGCCCTTGTACTGGTTAGCAATTCTGTCATGAACAACATCTCCAAAGAAAGAAATATATTTTCTTATGTAACCTGATTGGAAATGCCAAGGGTAATGTCCATTACAGCAAGAGTTCTTTTGCATTGTAAATATGAAAAATGGTGATCTTACACCCTATTTTTTAGGCGTATGGGTGGATGGAAGTCAGAGATAAAAGAAAAATGGGGTAAAAGTAAGATGGAAGAGAAATAATAATAACTCTAAATGTTTTATTACGGTACTACAAACAAGGTTTATTCAAGTCGATACAAGACATCCTTACAGTATTCCAGGGTCCAAATAAGTCATGCTGATCTGATGTGTGATGAATGATAGTTGAATCACACAAAAAACAACTAGATTCGCCTTCATATTTGCTATATACGGATTAACCTAAGTCAGCTGGCGAGGACACAAATCAGTTGATTCCAATCTCATTAGAACTCTACAATTAGGGGATTTTTTAAACTCAATTGAAGTTTTAGATATAGATCTAAAAAAACGACCAATGAAATCCGTAACTAATTTTACCTCCCTTTTTAACAAAGATATCTGAGATAATCTTTGGGCCTTGCGTATTCCTTCTATGGCCCATCCAAATACCTTTCTAAAAGGGTACTATTAGTCTAATTTCAAGTTGATTTGAATGAGTTATGTCAATTTTAAGATCAGCAATCCAAAGTGTGTCCATGGTGCAGACCCTGCAATTTCAGTTTCCGTTTTGACCTAGAAATATTGCAAATTAGGCGGAGGATGTGAGAATAAAAATTAAAGAGCTTTTATCGTCTTTCCAAAGACATAAGAAGCGCGCAAATCCAGTATTTGTAGCACCAATTATGACCTACACTGGAAAGATATGTTAAAGTGAGTAACAATTTGAAGTATGTTCTATCATTGTGATATTTATTACTGCAGTATAGTGGGCCATCAAAAGATGCTATGGCGTATGTCAACTGGTTAAGAGCCGATAACAGGTTTTCTGAGATATTGGTTCAGATATCTCCATCAGAATTTGGACATACCTTTCCAGCATTGAAATTGCGTTATAAGCCTTCATTGGTGCAGGTAAGCCATAAAGTATACTATTGCTAATTAAGTTTGTTAGCATTGGCATAACTGTATTTCTTTTGGTTTTGAATCTATGATCCGTTTTTTTCTTTTTAGGGCAATCAAATCTCATCTACTGGCTCAGAATTCTCTGTGCTATCGCTTTATAACAAATGAACAAATTTATGCATTTCTTTATCTTCGTGTCTGTATGTGTAGTATTAATAATTGTAGCTTGAAGACAACTTATCCGCGTATGACTTCCATTTTTCTTCAGTTTGAAGGTGATATGTCACATCTTTCATTGCTTGATCCTTCCATGCGTGCAATACCTTTATCACCATCAGAATGGAAAGAAAGATTGGAAGCAATCAATGAAACAGATCTTACAGCAAAAGATTATCATAACAGAAATTCCATTCTATTGGATGTCAGAAATGGTATATGTTCTGTAGTTCCAAAGTGAATCTACCATTATTTCCTTAATTTAATTTAAACTTTCCTCCCTTTTCTGTTTCCTATATTACATCAAATTTGGTTTCTGACTATTTGGTGCTTGAATCAAATGTCATTTTATAACTACTCCTTTGAATAAGAGGTGAATGGTTTTCCAATGACAATCGTCCACCTCATATGCAATTAAGCCACCAGATGCAATACTTTGAAATAGTGCCAAATTTGGAAAAAGCTGTAGAGTGGCTTAAAAGCTCCTTTAAGCCATAAAATTTCCCTTCATTTTTATGAGATACATATTTCTCTTTTGGGATTCCCAAAATAGACAGATTGGATAAGAATTTGACTTCTCATGGAACTCTTGCTTCTTGGCCAGGCTACTCGCTGCAATCGATCCTAACATCTGATTGGTGATTATGAAAAAAAAAAAAAGGAGTCCTTTAGCCTTAGGTCAATAGGAGTACTTGGCAAGTACAGATGAGTGTTCTGGTTATGTAGTTTGCAAGATCTCATGAGAAAAGTAACACTAAAGGCCATGGATTGAGCAGACCTTTAGCATGTATAAATATATGTGACAAACAGCCTAAACTGCCTTTTAAGTAAAAGATTATTTGAGAAAGATTAGAGGATCTGGTGAGAAATTTATGAATTGCTTGGTGTTAGATAAAAGAGAGAAAAATAATTTTCTTTTTATTGCCAATTTTCAAGAGAAAAGGACTATTTATATTCACAAGAGCTTGTCCTACAAGACTCTAAAAACAGTTTTAACCAGCTGTCACATGACAGGATGATTAACTTCCAATCAGCTGCCATATTACACCTGGACTACTAAAATAGGGGTGGCAAATTGAATGGATCGGATATATTTTATTTCAGATTATAATGGATTGGATGAAAAACATTAATCCATTTTGATCCAAAAAAAAGTAATTAAATATTTGATCCATTTAATAAAAATCCAATCTATCCAGAATTTCTTTCTTTCATGGATGGATATCCTATTCACCGGTTGAATTATTGGCAAACATACCAAAATTATCAATCGCAGTACAGTATTTCGATTAAATAAAAGTCGATCCCACAAGGAACGGTTTCAATGAAAATTTTCAATTATATTATTACTAAGTGGATTAAAAATAAATAGGTTTTACATAAAAAGTTGAATTGCAATTAACTGACAAAGAATTATAAATTATTTAGAAAATATCAAGTAAAGACACTTAGGATTGACTTTCTTCCTTTTCCCTCTTTTGTAATGACTATGTCAATTAAGAACATCAATTAACCTAACAATGTTGATGTTACCTACTCAAATCATCCATGTTGATTCCTCACACATGAAATTCATAAGAAAACCTAATAAATGTTGATTTCTCACACAATTAAGAGATTTTCCAGCATTAGGTTTAGGGTGTTAAGCAATTGATACATTCCATTACTGACAATTAACGTAACAAATATTCTTACCGTGATCTAGGGTTCAAGATATATTTTCCAATCATATCCCAAACATCAAGAATAAATCATTCCAAAGCACAAAGGATAAGAATAACAATATCAAAACATAGATTAATATCTCAAAATATCACCATGATATAAAAGAGTTTAAAGGAAGTGCACCAAATCCTAAGAGAATGAAGTTAGTCACTCATGTTGGCCATTACAATACTCCTAATGTGGAAGAAGTGAAGAATTGATAAAGATTAGACGAAACTTTAGAAGTAGTCACGCCTCTTCTCCCTCAAAACCACTTCCTTTTCTCAAAACACATCTTTATCTTTTTATAGGAAAATTTGGGTTTCGTGTCTTTCACTCAAGCGACAATATTCGCCAAGCGAAAGTTCCCTATTTTTGCTCAAGCGACAAATCGCTCGCTTGAATGAGTGAATTCCGAGATAAGAATAACTAACATTTGCTCAAGCGACTTTACTTGCGCTTGAGCGACTCGAATTCCGAGATAAGAATAATCGATATTCGCTCAAGCGAGAGTCCATCTCGCTCGAGCGACTTCCATGCTCGAAAATCTTCTTCCTTCTTCCAGTTTTGCTCCAATTATGTTGACAATTATGCTTCTTGCTCTTGTATCAAGGTATTCTCTAATTCATCCTACATTAGGAGAAAAATAGATTAAAATTAACATAAATCAAGTAGTTTCATAACGATTCAAAGCATAATTATATCAACTTTTTACCACTTAACATCACCCATATAACTAATATTTTAAAATAAAATAAAATAAAAGGTTAAAACTATGTTTTTAAAAAAATATGTAGAAACATAATTTGTAAAACAAATCTAAAAATATGTTTTTTGAATTTTTTAAAAAATGAAACTTAATAAAGAATTTATTGCGAAAATATTGATTGGATTAAGTTTGATCTGTTTCATATTAATGGGAAGATCCATTAGATTTTGAGGAATAATGCATGGATCTTTATCCATCCATGTTTTTTTTATATTTTTGTAATGGATGGATTAGATGATGAATTTACTTGTAGATGGATTGGATGGACGAATGAATTGTTTTGCCACCCTTAGTTATCAACAACTGTCAACTTGATGGATATTACATACATAAAAAAAATAATTACAATACAAGCTTAGAAGATAATTAATAAGAATGTCACATTGCCACTTTAAGTACATGCTTGATACATCCTATGTACTCAACTCAGATACTCAAAGAAAATTGTTACTGTCATTGTTATTGTTATTGTTATTATTATTATTACTGTTATTGTTATTATTATTATTATTATTATTCAATAGCTTAAACAAGCTAAAGCAAATCCAACTTAAGATGAAGTAAATCCCTAATTGTTCATACCTTGCTCGAGGTTAATTGACCTTTGTCCTATATCCTTTGAGCTGCTCCGAGGGGGTCTCGAAGGTAAGGGGGAATCACCTACAAAGGTTCTTTGATATTTAAGTCAATAAATGAATATGAATATAAAATACGAGAAAATGCTTAGATATGAGTAAAGGAAGAACCAAACCTTTTATAAAATAATATCCGGCTAATTACCCGAGATTCATGGGATCGTTATTCCTCTTGTATCTAAGTGCAACCTAATATCTTGTATTTCGGTCAGTTGTTAGCTTGACCTAGTCATCATATAGGTAAACTAATTAATTTAAAATAATCTCAAATCAAACCCTAATTGTGAAATAAAACATCCGTACTTAATAACTAACTCAATAATTATCCAATCTACACCATTCCTCTTGGTTTAGAAGAAATCTTTTCCATAGAGTCCAAATGTGGGTAATGATCCCATTAGATAGTACTGACTATCAAACTGGTTGAAGTGTCTCGTGCGACAGTGGTGGTATTGAAAATGACATGATTTGGACAAATTTTGGCATGAGCCTTTGGATAGTTAATATCATAGTCTATACTTTTGTCTTTGAATTATTTGACAACCGTTACCCAAGGTGGAGATTGGGTATCTGGTTGCAGGTCATAAGCACAATGTTCTGGCTGGGTGATGAAATGAGTAAGGTGTGTTTGCATCACTGTTTGACTGCATTAAATTCGTGGGCAAAGTGTTACCATTGATACGTTTATTGTAATTGCCTTTTCAAAAGGGAACCTGATTTGCTCCTCAACTGGTAAAATGTCTTGTCTCCCCTTGTTACCTAAAAGAGGTGAGGGTGTGGTTCTAGCCTTATTCCTAATCTGGACATACTAATATTAGTAATGAGATCCATGAAACTGCCCCTGTCAATGACTACCATTCATGGAGTATCCCTTGTGCAAAACAAACTGGCTGACCTAGCATCTGTTTCTTCTGCTCTTTGTGGAAATCTTTAATTCATGTTTTTAAATATCTAAGTATATTTTCCCTTCTTTCTGTGATAAAGGATTTATAGTTTTCATCATTATACGAAGGATGAATACAGTATCATTGCTGTTATTCAGGTTATGAGTGGGATATTGGACATTTTCGTGGAGCTCAGCGACCTAGTGTGGACTGCTTTAGGAACACTTCATTTGGTCTATCTCAGGAAGAGGTTGGGTCATTATCTGATGTCTCAGTGCCTAATGTGGACTGATTCAGGATTGATATGCTCTCGTGATAAGCTGAAACATGCCATCAAGTTGTATGACTTTTTCTTTAAATCCAAGTAATGCCATAAAATCTTGGTTTTCTTGCATTGAATTTTAACATTGCTATTCACTTGAAAAATAGCATTTTTCATTTATTAAAATGCTATGATGAATTTGGCAGTCAAATATGATATCATATAGATTTTCTCATTTACCTATGAGCTTTGCCTAGATTATAGGTTGGAATCAGTGAATCACTAATTCAAACTTTTATCTCACCATTATGGGGATTAATGTACTCCTCTTTGATATGCCCTCTGTAGATCACTGCTTCAGATCCTTTATTAAATGTGGATAAAGAAAAAGCAAGCATATTGATGTATTGCACTGGAGGGATTCGATGTGATGTATATTCTACAATATTAAGGTAAGGTAAATTATTATTAGAGAATGCTAATGAATGAGTGTCCTTTTGGTTCAGAAACAAAAGAAGAAAGTAATTAACAAGAGGAGGATTGGGATGACCTATTTGACTAGGAAACCAGTGTGAGCTAGTCTATTGATTGGTCCAGATAAACCATAGAATCAACCTTGAGAAGAACTATTCAAAAACCAAAAATTTGATCATAATCGATTCTCTTTGAAAAACATAGAGTAGTCTATTAAATGTTTCTTAACTACTATTTTCAAGGCAGTCATTAGTAATACCAGTTATTATTCCATATTCTTCTGTTACTTCTTTCAGCATAATGTTTTTTATTTCAGAAAACTTATACTCTTTCCAGTTTGAACTTCAGTACATCTTATTACTTTCAAGACATGGTCACAGGAGTTAAAATCTCAAACACAATGAAATATGACGTAGTCTACCATTCATTTATACAAAAAAAAAAAAAAAAAATTCACTTTGCAATGTATACTTATAACCTTCCAAATTCAACCATCAGCTTTTAAAATTATTTAACTTATAAATTATTTATGGTAAAAACATGGTATACACCATCATTGATAATTTTATCATGTGTATTTACAGATATTGGCTAGAAGTTTGAGTAGCAAGTTAGAATGGAAGCAGTATAGTAATTTTTGTCATTTTATTACTAAAACATTTTTGTTAAAGAGAAGTATAAACTACTTCCTTCTGCAACTTCACAATCCCTCAAAAAAATTGAAAACACATTGAAGATGACAGACAAGCTTAGCTAAAAAAGGATTGTCGCTTCACTAACCACTGGAAAAATTTCAAAGCTAAGAGTTATTTACCTCACTTAATTTAGCAAAACTACTCAGCCCTTTCAATAGCCAAGGAATGCTGCACTGGTCAAGTTCGTTGGAATAGAGTACTTCAGAATATCTTGACAATATTTTATAACGCGCACTTGTTAAAATGAGTCCATAAGATAATTAGGTTTTTGATCATATTGTGTTAAGCAGTAGTATTGTAGTACCAGTACTTGGTCTAATTATTATAACTAGAATCGTTGAGTTAATATTTGATCACTATTTAGTATTCCTTTTCTCTCCTATTCTTTCTCTTCCTAGACACTGAACCCTCTGATTCCTTATTCATGGAACTGAAGTCACATACTCTTTCTCCTCCTTTTCATATTGTTAATTTGGTGCATTGCTTTGATGCCATGTAACAGGAAGCAAGGATTTCAGAATTTATATACTCTGAAAGGAGGTGTTTCTCATTATTTAAAGAATGAAGGTCCTGCTGAATGGGTAGGAAATTTATTTGTATTTGACTCCCGTCTGTCTCTCCCTCCTTCTATTTACTATACTGGGGCCACAATCAAAGCAGAATCAACTGCAGTTTCTGGAGATGATAAGTTTGCAAAATGCTATGTATGTAGTTTCGAAGTCAGTGAATTGAAACATAGGAACTGTGCAAATCTTGATTGTAATTTGCTTTTTCTGTAAGACCCCCTTCTCTGTTTCATTTGTCTTCTTTTAAACATACTTGTATTTTGCATTTGGTGATTTTCATTATATCAAGCATGTTAGCCTTTGTCATGCAGATGCTGTAGAAAATGTGTAAAGGATCTAAAAGGTTGTTGCTGTTTGACGTGCACTACTGCTCCTCGGCTTAGACCTGTTTTAAATGGAATGCAGAGATACAAAAAATGGCACAACTATCGGGATATGGATCCGCTAGAGCAATGAAAATTTCAGCTTGAATGCCCTTGCTGACCAATTGACAAAGCTAGTTCCTCTACATTTTTGTTGTTTTCCAGCTGTGCATTGGTATCTGTTGAAACACAGCACAACTGTCAATAAATTTCCATGTATACAGGAGTTGAAATCTTGAATTGATAAAGTTTGCATCGTGATGCACTGCAGCCTCGCCTTTAAGTTCAACTTGCTCATTACATCTTCGGTAGAATAGATAAGGTAAAAGGATGTGACAGTTACAGCCTGGAAATGATAGAATTTCTTGTAGTTTTTGTTGTGTAGATCTTTTTTCCAGTGTCCGTGTCCTGTGTAAAACTTGAAATTAACTTCATTAGAATTTGTTATCATCTGATGCTCCACCTTTTATATATATATATATATATATACATATATATATATATATATATATATAAAGGTTATACGCTATTGATGTTAACTTGTTTTACACTGTATGAAATGTCTCTGTTCAGTCTTATCAGGCCATATTATTTTAATTAAACTTAAAAAACAAAAAGAATTCTGTTTCTTATTTACACATTTTATGCTAATTTAGGGGGCATCAGTCTTTCTTTAGTTAGTTTCCAAAAGTTTTTTGTATCTACTTAATAATAACGGCTGGAGAATAGAAAAATTTAACTTACTACTAAATGGTGGTGTGAATGAGAAAATTTCAAGTTTTAAAGAACTTGAATTTTATTTTTAATGTTTTGTTCAGAAAAAAATAATTAAAACTTCTTAAATTTTAAATTCTTAATTTTAAGATGATAATTTAACTTTTACTATACACAAAAAAAGATAAATATATATTTTATAAAATAAAATTTGAATACTAAATTTATGAAAATAAGCTCTAACTAATTTTAAATAATGATTAATTAAAAATTAATATAAAATAGTATTTAATAATTAGAAACACAAATGATGGGAAAAAAAAAATAGAGGTAGCAAGGAGGGTGAAGATATACTACCGGAGAAAGAGAAAAATAGAGTTAAAAAGAACAGAGAAGGGAGGGACATGGGAAAAGGAAAATCCAAATTATTATTATTATTATTATTATTATTATTATTATTACTATTACTATTACTACTATTATTATTATTATTATTAAACGCATATAATAAAGTGTCTAAATTTTTTATATAATCAATTTTTAAAAAATATTATTTTAAATTATATTTTTTGACTTTTAAAATATATATTTTTTATTATTTTTAAATATATAAATTTATAACAACTTTTTTTTAATTATAACACATTTTTTCTCTGTAATAACAATTTAAAAAAAATCTCCTTTATTCATATTGATAGACTTAAATTTGAATGTTTATTAAAGGATTAAAATTGCACGCTTACTGTAATTAAATCAACTTATAAATAAGAATACATTAACATTAAAATTCCTCATTTTCACAATTAAAACTAATCCCATTTATCAATTACGTGTAATATTTATAATATTTTTAAACCGCAAGGAGACATAGAATCTAAAAATGATTGGTAGTATAATATTTTTAAACAAAGAAGAGATTTATGTAAAAATTTAAAAATCTTGTGTCAATACTAATGAAAGATAAATTTTATGACGATTTCAAGTTTATCATAAATCTTAATAAACTAAAATAAAAACCCTAAATTCGACCTTTATTTCAAGTTGTATATTTCATTTTTGTTTTATCACCATTAGCATTTTTCTAACTAATATTAACCTCAGGAATTAAAAATAGTTTTAAAATTTCAAGGACCAAAACCCAAAAACAGGAACCAAATACAAAAGACCGTACCAAAAGCTTTTAACTTACGTTATGTTTCATACAAATACATTTAGTTAGGAATATGTTCTTTTAAGAATGCGAATAAATATATATATATATATATATATATATATATATATATATATATATATATATATATATATATATATATATATATATATAACACTATCAAAATTCACAAATTCTACGGGCAATGCTATCCCTGTTCAGCAAGTTTGCCTGTGATTTTAGAAATCAAAATGAACTTGCATTGCAACATGATTTCATTTTTAAACCCGAACGATCTAAAGCAACAATTTTCTAAACCTGAACTGTCTAAATCAATATATTATTTGCTTTTATGTCTTCTACCTTTGCCTTCAACTAAAAACTAAGCATCAGCATTAGACAACAGCTGACAATAATAGAAGAATATCCGACAACAAATAACATGGAAATGGTTAAGAGGATTCATCGGTGTAACCGAGAGATATGAACTACACATGATTGCACTGAACCGTAATATTGATTCATTCAACAAACAGCAATGTCTGCAACAGAGTAAATTACAGAAGCGGAAGAGTATGGTCCATGGCACCGCTGCTAACCAACATAAAAATAAAAAATAAAAAAAATTAGCAAGAAATAAGAATGAATAGCTGAAAGCGTGGATGGCAAGAGCGTTGTCAGGGTTTATGATATTGTGAAACAGAGTTGAAGACATTTTCTGAATTTGGAATCAATAAACAAGGTAATAAGAAGAAAAGCTTATTCTAGTTACTAACACTGGGTAGGGTGTAAACGAAGGTGTGAAATGGAGATTGGAAAGAGATGTGAAGGTTGTAAAAGTGGGTGTTAAGATGAGGGTTAAAATTAGGAAAATTAAAGATTAGAATCAGAAGAAGAGTGACTTACAAGGGATTGATAGTTTTATTTACAATAACGATCAGCCTTCTTTTTGACCCGATCATCGAGGGCGTCCTCGACTGAGTTGAAGTTAGTTTTGGGTTGGTAACCGAATTTCTTGGCCTCCACAGGGAAGAGTTGGTCGTACTTCATACGCTTCGCCGCGTCGATGGTATATTCAGATCCCTCAGCCTGTTTGTCGGTGTCGAGTGTTTCTTCAGGGTTAGGGTTAGGGTTAGTGTCGGGGCTAGGGTTGTGGTCCTCGTCCTCCATCGCCGTCTTCTTCTTCTTCTTCTTGCCCTTCTTCTCTATGGATTTGGAGCGAGAGGCGAGGATTCCTCCTTTGAATGCTAATCTTCCTCCTTTCACCCGCTCGTACGGATCCGACATCTCAACAACACAAACCACACAGCTCCCTCTCTCCCTCTTCCTTTCTCCACCCGGCCCTAAACAAAACAATACAATACTCCACACTTTTTTTCCATTTCATATTTTTGTCTATGGGCTTTCCATTGTTAGACAGGCCCACTCACATTCCTTCTTTCTACACTCACTCAAAGAACATGATGTGCAATTAAGACTAAAACGATCAGGATTGAGAATTTAAAGATTTAATTAAAATTTAAATAAATTTAATAAAATAATATTTTATAATATAATAAATTCATTAATAATAATTTAAATTTTGATTTAGATCGAGTCATATTATTTTTAAATAATGATATTTTAATTAAGTTAAAATAAAATTGATAGAAAATAAAAAAATTGATTAGATTTTTTAATCGAATCAATTTAATAAATAAAATTAAGGTTAATTTTTAATATAGTTTTTAAATTTTATATTAATTAAATTAATTTTAAATAGTAATTATTTTATTATATTTTAATCTTATAAGTATTATTATTTATAATTTTTTAATATGTTTTCGGAAATAGCCTATATATAATTACAAATATAATATAATTTTTAACTTTTTATTTTCTAAATTTATATGTATGGTTTGAATTAAAGTATAATTAATAACTTTATACAAGATATTCAACTTCAACATGCAAATAAAAATGGTATAACACGTTACCGTAGGTTTAATCAAACCAGATAAAATTTAATAGGGATGAAAATGAGTATTGAAATTTTAAATATATGTTTTCGTAAATTTAAACTCTCAATTGTTTTGTTCTATTATTGTACCTATTGTTAAATGATTATTTTATTATTAAGTAACACGTCAATGATAAGTAGAACTGACATATTTTTCTTTTTCTAAAATAAGCTTTTTATCTCCAATAAATTTAAAGATTTTTCTTGTAGTCTTCATAATTTTTTATTTTTGTGTAATCTTTGTCCTTTATTGATATCCCCTGAGTTTTGACTTATTTATTAAATGACTATGTCAACAACTAAGTAAAATTGACACATTTTATTATTATTATTATTATTATTATTATTATTATTATTATTATTATTATTATTATTATTATTATTATTATGTTCAAAGGAATACAAATTCATAGTATGAGATGTGTTAACTTGAGTTTACATCTCTTGTTTATTTTAGTCTTTTCTAATTAATGGTGAAACTCAGAAGATGGACAATCCAAAATAAAACATATAGCCATGGATCTTAAAACTCTTTAGATTTAACCGTCGAAAAGGGAAGATTAAAAAAAAAAGGGTTATGTTTCACAAAACCACCCTTCTTTTAAACTACATAAAAAAAATATATCGTGATGAATGAAGATCATATAACCTCCTCTCTAAAGTATATAAAATCTTAATTTCTTAAGCGAATGAAGCTAAGTTTATTGATTATAATCACAACCTCTTATAAAAATTATAATCAATCAATCATCATTTTAGAAGAAAAGTTTTTAGATATGATTAATTAAAATCAATATAATCCTCACATCAAATCAACTGAAGTATTTTTTACAATATTATTGGTTTAAAGAAAAAAATTTCAATGTTAATCAAATACCATTTTAGACATGATTAATTAAAATCAATCTAATCCTAACATCAATTTCAATTAAGTATATTTTTTTACAATATTATTGGTTTTTAATAAAAATATTAATTAAATCCCAATTAAATAAGTAAAAGGTGGTAAAATTAATACAAGCAGTAAGAATAAATAAGAACAATCAATGTTTTCAAAAGTGCTTAGATGAATTCAAGTCTGATTTTTCAACCCTAACAAAGAGGATAATAAATATTATGTTTTCATTAGAAAGTGATTTTAAAATCAAGATGTAATGAATGGTTGGACTAATTTTTCTGATTCTATTATTATTGATAAGATAAGATAAGAGTAATAACTTGGTGATTTAGAAAAAAACGATAAATAAATATAGTGAAAGGCATAAGATAGGATTATAGGGATGATTAAAAGGTGGAGCGGGGCTTAATTAGTGTTTGAACTTAGGCCTCTTGACAATCATGACGGAAGAATTAGCGTGACGAGCACAGTGGTCGCTCACACTTCCTAAAACAGCTCTGCAATGCAATCGAAGAAGAAAGAAGAAAGAATGTTAATTATGAATATTAATATTAATGGATGGATACGGGATCCGTACCGTTTGATAGCTCCGTAGCCGTGGCTACCCAAAACCAACACGGATGCGCGGTGTCTCTCTACAGCATCACACAGGACGTTCCTGGCATCACCTTCAACCACTTCCACCACAACCTCCACAACCGATTTACTGGCGCATATTTGCTTTGCCTTTTGGGCAATCTGATCGGCGTTCACTTTGAGCTGCGCCTCGACGGCAGGAAATATTTCAGAGCCTAGGACCCCTGGCAGTTAATCAATTGAGATTCTACCATCCATCCCTAACAACATACAAATTTAAACAACTCTCTCTACTTACCAGGTCCTGCCATACATACAGCCGGCGGAGGAGAGGGTTTCGCGTTGATTATAACAAGATTGTAAGGAGCGTCTGCCCCAAACGGAGTGAAGAAATGCTCTAGAGTCCACTCCAAGGCATAGTTGCTATGTTCATGTTCGTCCATCGCCAACACCATCACTCGCTTCTCTCCACAACAACTCGCCATTCATAACCCAATATCTTCGCTTCTCTTCTCTTCTCTTCTCTCTAACAATCAATCGCTTATATATATACTCTACTTGGCCATCGTTTCAGCCCATAATAACTCTTCTTTCCCGTTGTAAAACTTTTACGTATCATTAATTATTACTTTTAAATTATATTGTTATTTATCCCAATGGGCTACCATTATACAATATGTTTTTTTTTTTATGTATATAAAAAATATTGACGTGATAATTAACCTAAGAAAAGTAATCAGAATTGGCTTTTGGTATTGTACACAGAACATATTCTCATTGGTATGTGCCTATTGGTGCTATGTGATTATTATTTGTCCTTATCTTTTTAGTTTTTCTTTTTTTATGTATAATGTAATTTTGGTAAAATGAAATTGACGCGAATTGCACTTTTACAAATTTTTATTTAGCTCGTTTCGAGAATCTTAAATAACTGATGGGTGATAAAATTATCTATTTTAAAATAACATGCTTCACGACAGACACAGATCCATTTGTTAATAATTATCATGTTATATGGAATCATTACAACACTATTACCCTTTTTTTTTATGAATAACTATTGCCACTTGCATTAACATTTAACAAAATTTTTAACATATCACTAATAACATTTTAAAATTGTTGTAGCCAGATATATGAAACAGTGTGATTTGTGTATTTCTTTTTTCTATGTATGTTTTTATTCATCTTATCTTTGCCTCGGTTATAAATAAATACCGTCGGTTCAGCTGTCGAAATTTACGGATATATCCTTAAACGAGAGTTATTCGATATTTAATTCTTATGTAACATGACTTAGACATTAAAAAATATTACGAATTTTTTTGTAATGCTAACCACGTTTTAATACATAACTAATTTTTACATTTATCATTAATTATTTTTTTAACACTAAAACATCTTACTTATATTTTTATAATATTTAAAAATATTTGAATATTCATTTTAATTAAAATAAAAAATATATATAATTATGAGAAATAAATATTCAGTCAAGTTGTACATAAGAAAAAGTATCAAATTATTCTAAAAATAACTCTAAAAAATTACTGTTGAAATAACTTGATCTCTCTTTAGATAAATATTTTCTAATGACTAACATTGTACAAGTCATTTAATAGTTGATTTTTGTAACTTAAAAAAAGAGATTACATACTCATTTTGAGATAAAAACTAAACAAGAGCATCCAAATATATTCATGATCAAACACTACTAAAATATTAGTGGTTTTCTGTAAATTTTCTTATAAAAATGTATTTAAATTCATAAAAAATTATTTTTTTAAATTTTTATAAAAAATTTACAAAAATATTATCGTGAGAATTTATTATAGTGAAACATCAAAACTATTAACTGTAATATCAAATAACAAAGGAACTTACCATAATTTTAGTATATCATATGCATGGCAACACGAGTCCGGACCGACGGATTTTGTTTTTCAGATTCTCGTCTTCGATTTTTTAAGCTGTTCCTATTTCTATTCCTGATCTCTATCGGGATTATAAATTAAGTTTCTATTTCCGTCTCTATTGCGTTTTGAGTTTTTCGTCCAGTGTCGTCCTTAATTTATATTATTTAAAAAAAATAATTATATTTATAATAAATTAATTTTACTATTTTTATATATTTTTTATACATAAATAAATATTTATAATTTATAATTATTATTAATTATATATATAATATAATTTATTATATTTATATTAAAATATGTATGTAAAAGAAATATTTAATCATTTTTTATTTATACATATATAGAATAATACTGTATTCAAATATTTGAATACTTATAATAATAATAATAATAATAATAATAATATTATTATTATTATTATAATAATGTATTTAAACATTTGATTATATATATAAGTTAATTTATTTTTAAGTTGTTATTTAAAAATATAAAATATATAGTTTGTAAGAAAATATTTAATAAGTTAATTCTTATTTAATTAGTTCAAAGTAATAAAAGATTAAATTATTAATTCTTTAAAATACAATTATTTTATTAAGATAAAATTTGATATATGACAAATAAGAATATAATAAGATAAAAAAATATGACATAATAAAACCTAATAAATATAAATTATAAATAAAATAATATTAGTTACTTGCTAAGATTTATGTAAAATATTTAAAAAAAAGATAAGGAAGAAGAAAAAAAATTAACTTTATGTTCATCAGATTGGTTGAAAAGATTGAAAAAAAACAAATTAATTGGATAGATTAAGAAAATGTGAAAAACTAAAAGGTAAGAGAAAGAGAATAATATAATAAGCTAATTGATATAAAAGATTAAAAAAGATATAAGAATTAAAAAGTGGGTAGAAGAAAAGTAAAAATGGTGAAATATAAAAAAATAACCTTATATGTAATAGAAAAAAAGGAAATATTTTAAAAATATTAATATTTTAAAATTTAAATTTAAATATAAAGGCGGGGACGGGGACGGGACCAAGGTGGAGATTACATTACTCATTCCCGCCCCCGTCCCTAACTTTTTTAAGCGGGAAAAACTTGAATCCGGTCTCGCCTCTGATCAACTTAGGTTTTTCTTGTCAAACTTGAGACGGGACGAATCAGTTTTCACGGGTATCGGTTTAATTGTTATCTTGTATCATAATATGCAAGCTTATCTTTAATAATGTGTTTCTAATTATTCCCCATCATTCTTTTTAATCATGTATCCTAAAGTGAGATAAATTTTGAAATGCTAGTGACTAATGCATCGATTTTAAGCCAATGTAACAACTAATAACCAAAGCCAAAGAAGGACAATATAATAGTCAAACCTTGTTGGAAAATTACAAATAAAATATTTTATTATAATGTTGATTGAGCCACTAATAATTATATAGATTGAGGATTGTGAGTTGAAGTTACACCTATAAAAATGTAAATGTTGAAAAATGTATAAATGAGAGTAACTCATGTATTAAGTTTTTTTTTAATATGATATCATATATTTTTTTTATATAATTGACTTATATCTTATTTGTGAAAATCTCTTTATTATTAGTCCATCAAAAATATCTAACAAAATATTTTCTACAAATCATATTAATTCTTTTTAAATTAGATTCAAAACAACTCATAAATAAATATTCTTATTTTTCATTTTTTTTAAGTTGGATTTAAAGCAACTCACAAGTCAATATTCTTATTTTTCATCTTTTTACATAGTTTAACGGTGTGTCCAAAGTTGTTATATATTTCTTCTTTCTTTATCAATCCAAAAATCAGTTAATTTAAACCACACTAACCAATTGAGTGTCAAAAATAAAAGATAACATCCTATCAGTATGAACAATTTTTTTGTTTATCAAGAACAAGGCATGGCACCAAATACCATTATTGGAATGTCGATGGTTGATGTATGGTTCAGTACAAATAGTCCAATGACCTGAACACCATGAAAAGACAAGGGCAAGACTTACAAATTTGTTTTAAGACTTTGTGATACTTCATCATCATGATATATGTACAAAATTGAAATGCCCATACTAAAATTTATAGAAATTGAGTATAAATTATTTACATTATATAAATATATATTTAAGATCTGATCTTATAGTCGAAATAACTTAAAAATATATATTGCAACAAGACTTTTAAATAGGATTATCTTTTAAAATTTTAAAAGTTTAAACTTGATTCTTTAAAAAATAAATAAGTGTAACAAATATTTACGGCTTAAATATTTTTTTCTTCGGTTTGCTTCAAGTTTTTAAATTTGAGAGTGAGTGTTTTTAGTCTCCTTTTCGTACCTGTCTTAAAGATCAGGATGATTCGGTAAGAATTCTTAATGCTTGGAAAGATGAGGCTTGAACCAAGAATTCTTGCATTTATTATTGCATGGATGTTTGCTCCAAGGGGGAGTAATCATGCTATACTCAGTGAGACTGATTTAACTCTCATGTATTACATTGAAAATAGGATTCGCGTAAACAGGATCTATGTTATTAAAGACCACATGATAAAAGTCAAGAGGCTTGCTGATTATAAATTGCCTTATGTCTTGTTAATCAACAAATTCTTTAGACATTTTGCAGTAGATCTAGAAGGGGAATATGTGGAAACCCCTAAAGCATCTAACGAGATTGATGATTCCACTCTACGGAAAATGGGGTTTATCAAAATTGATGATGAATGGATCTCAAAGATTGATGTTGGGATGTCCGAAGATGAGGACGAAGATGAAGAAGAAGCTGATCAAGGTCAAATTCCTTCTTCTCCGGCTGTTGCTGAAGTTCCTGAAACCACTGGTGGTCAAACCTCTTATGAGAACATGGAAATCATACCTTACTTAGAGCAACTTGATCATGGGACTCCTCTCTCACAGTTTGAACAAACCATGCTCTCCCAAATATCCTCACTGTAAGAGAATAAAAGGAAACACATGCAAATGACATACCAACATTTTCAGCAATCCAATACTCAATTCACCAACCTGGGAAATAAGATTGTTGACATCTATACAAAGTTGGAGGACATGCAGCTCAATCAGGGAAACTGGGAAGATTAAAGTCTCATCAAGAAGGGTCCTTTTAATCATTTTTTTTTTGTTTCTACTTTTATTTATTATTTTTATTTTGCTAGTCTGTAATATTAACTGGTCTTTGACCAAAAACACTCCCTAAAACGACTTTTAATATGATAAAGATATTTAAGAACTGAGTTAGATACCTTAGATTGTTCAAACAATACATATTCTGTCAGTTTTAGCTTATATAAAATCATTTTAATCGATTAATTCTATTCACAAACATAATCATTTAGACAATCCGTACTGTTTTAATCGATTAATTCGGTTTTTAATCGATTAAATTCACTTACATAAAATTCACCTAAGATATATATTCTGTTTTTAATCGATTATTTTGCGAAAGAATCGATTAAAAGTTCTAGGATATGGAATTGTATCGACTAGAAATGTTTTACATCAATTAAATTTACTAAATTTTCCACTCATTCTTG